GTGTGTGTGTGTATGTGTGTGCATGCGTGCATGCATGTGTGTGTCTTCTTTGTAACTGGCTCATGAAATCCCAATGGTTGGGAACTGCCGAACCTCAACCACATGTAAAACTATATACTTCAGCCCAGATGCTCTCTCGCTGTTTGTCATGGACATTAATAAGCTCACTAGAAAAGGAAGGATAAAGGGAAGATTTTGACAGTTTTCTCTGCCACCAGTTTCTGTTTGATGCCTCAGTAGGACTGAAAGCCATGGCACAGAGGACTAAGTTGCCACAAGTTTGAATCCTGTGTGGATTCACAGTGGAATTACTGTGTGGCTTGGGGCAGGTCACTTAACCTGTCTGAGCTTCTGTTTCCTTGTCTATAACACAGAGCTCATCTTGCCTAAGCCAGGGAGCAGGGTGAGACTGACAGAAACATCCATGAAGCTTTCACCCTGAGCCGCACTGGCAGTGAGAACTACGTTCCTAGTGGTCGGGATGAGCGCCAGGCACACAGTTCGTCCTCCCAAGCCCGGCCACCCCACCGGCCTGGGGCAGGCCTGAGAGTGAGACTGAGGTCCTACTCCTCTTGGACCAGTGCCGTGCTAGCTTGCCTGATGGTCCACGGGGATCTCTAGACTATGACCCTCTAAGGTGCAGCTATAAGATGCAAACAAAGACAGAGTGTTTCCTGCAGTGCCCAACACAAAGGGACCTTGTCCTTCCAGGCACCCCTCAGCCTCTGTCCCGCCCCAACCTGATCTCTTCGTTGATGGCATCCAGCTGTTCCTGCAGCATCACTGCCAGAGTCTGGGCATCCGAGTGGCCGCTGGGGGAAACAACATCGACAGAGCCCACAAGACCACCTGGCTCATCCTCATCCACGTCAGAGATCTCAGGGTCGCTGTCGAAGGCAGTGGTGGCCTTGGGGGCCCGCATGCCAGGCAGTGGAGATGGCTCCCAGTCCTTGGCAGAGGAGGAGGGTAAAGAGGTAGCAATCAGACACCCAGACAGCTGAGGATCAAGAGCTCCCCACTGTGCCCAGCAGCACTGCATCTCCTAGGAGCCTGTTAAGACATGCAGACCGCTGATTCAAGATCCAATCCCCAGGTGATCTGTCTGCACAGTGAAGTCTGAGAACTACTCACTCAAGGAGTTAGCTAACAGTGGCTAAGAATAGGTTACTGCCTTGGTTTGAATCTCAGCTCCACCCAATATAGCTGTACAGCCATAGGAAAGCTGCTTAATCTCTCTGTGCCTCAGTTTCTTCATCTGTAAAACAGGGACAGCAATAGTGCCTATCCTGTAGGTAGTTGTGAGGCTTAAGGGAAGAAATGCAGGTACCCCTCCTAGCACAAGGACTTGGCACAAAACAGACACTATAAAAGGCTCCTGGTTTCTGTTTGTACAAACCCACAAAAGGTGACTAGATCCAGGGACCAAGGCAAGGCCAAGCCTGTCTTGGGTCTCCCAGAGTTCAAGTACATTAGAGGGAGATAGTGGCTTTTCCAAAATCATCCTATAAACTTCTTCCACAGACAAAGGTCCCAACGAAGAGAAAGCACAGCATGGGGCTGAGAAAGCCAGAGAAGTAGGGGAAGGAAAGGAAGCAGGCCAGGACTGAGAGGGGTGCTAACATGCAGTCTCTATGACCCAAGTCCCCAATTCTCCCTTAGGGTTCTGCTCTAGCTCCTGTCACCTACAGCCTGAGCTCCTGGGTACCTGCTGTGTCTTTATAACAGTATAGAGAAGGACTAAGGGAGGGACAAAAAGACTGCTCAGACTGGGGCTTCCTCAGGACCAAGAAGCCCCCACCCCAGCAGAGTAAGAGCTCCTCCTTTCTGTCTGACTCTTCCGGTGCCCCAGAGCATGCAGAGGACCTGGACGTGGACATGACTAACAATTAGGAGGCCAGGCAGGAATCAGACTTCTCCAGAAGATGGAAGTTAGCCTTTTTCTGCACTTTATCTTCCCTTACTCCCCCCAATCTTCCTAGGCCAAATCAGACAGAGTGAGGCCACAGCTGCTCCTCAGAAAACTCCAGGAGCCATCCCCAGAGCCAGGTAACCTGTCATCCCTCCCTTTCCCCCATATAAATCACAACTGTTGTTCCAGGAATCTTGCCAGTTGCCTCTCAAGCCCGCAGCCCCTCCCCAGCCAACAGAAACACACGCCCGCACACCCAGGCACACGCTCACACGCTTCAGTGGGGCCTTGGGGCCTGGCTGCCTTCCAGCCCCTACCTCCTGCCCACCAGGAGGCCAAGGCAAGGGGGCACAGCTGTTGCAGCTGACAATGGCCCCTGCCCCAGGGCTGCAGCTGTCATGCACACGGGGGTGGGCAGGGGAGGATTTGCACCACATGCCAGCCGTCTGTGTAACTGGAGCCAGGCACATGGCTGAATTGACCCCAAACTCCCTGGGGAGACCCCACACACTCACCCTCCACCCCTCACCTTGGCCGAGTCTTCCCTCAGGGCCGAGTAGCGGCGGTGCAGACCGGGGGGTGCATGGGCGGTGGAGCTCAAGGAGAACCGCATGTCCGCTGCACTGCCCAGGTGTGACCTTGAGAGGGTGGCAGGGAGAGGAAGGACAGGTCCTGAGGACCGAGAGACCCACCCGGCACCCACTGAGCCCCAAGAGTCAGGGGGCTTCTGCTCGGAGAAGAGGTCTTAACCGGACACACCGCTCTCATGCGTGTTTGTAGGGCTGCCACGTAAGCCCCCAATTAGACTTAGGCTCTGCCGCTCCAGGGTCAGAATCACCTAGGGGAGAAAGTTCTAGGGAGCAGCTTTCCATTTTGCATAAGGAGGATCTTCTCTTGGTTTATTATGCTTTTTAAAAGTTCTGCTCTTGGTCAGGTATTGAAGTGGAGGTTCTCTGGCCTTCTGCCAAGCATGGCGCAGGGGGCTCCGAGCACCAGAAGGGTCCAGGGAGGACCTGAAGGTCCTTTTAACTCTCTGGTCTTGGTTCCTTGGTCTCCCCCAGTGACTCTCTCCTTGGGTCCTCCAATAACCTAGACTGGGTTCCTAATCTAGCTAAAGTTCCACCCAGCATACCCTCCCCATCCTTAGGAAGCTTTGGGGGGCCCTCAATGCTGTATGAGAGGCACAGGACAGAGAAACCAGTTTGATTTTAGGGCTCCAGGAGCAGTCTGGAGAGTCCAGAAGCCTCCCCTGTGATGTTTCTCCCCTGTGCTTTCTCAGCTGGCAGCTAGGTGAGCCCCCTCTTTTCCACTGTAACTCAGCCCCAGTGCAGTGATGGGTCCGGTTATTGTACAGTCAAATCTAAGAATTCCCAACAAGTAGGGAAAGCATAGGGTGGAAAATGACTTGGAATATTCTAGGACAGGTCTTATTAAATGAAGGGTGGCCCTTCTGGTCACCTACAGGAAGGAAAAAGTAGAATCCCAGCTACAATTTTATGTCTCCGTTCCTTGCTTCTCTTTATACTCCTATACCGCTACAGTAATTCCTGATGAACTTGAAGATGACACTTAAGTTTCTACCACTCTACATCCCAGGTTTCTCCTCTCAAGCTCATTTTTTCCCTCATTCTCCACACATACCTATTTCCTCTAACCTTTCTTCATAGTAACTGGTCCAAACTTCCCTAATATAACACAAGCACTGACCGAAGAAAACCACCAAAGTTCTAACCTAAGAGACTTTGGTTGGGAGAGAAAACAGCCAGGAGCCCTGAACCTTCAGTGCCACTAACCACCATTCCGGTCCTTTCCATCTTCACCCTACCTCTCTGGCCTAAGAATTGAGGGCAGGCTTGAGGTCTGAGTTCAAGGCCAACTGCTTTACAAAATGTGGAGAAAAATCCAGAGATTCTCTAAGGCACGAGCAAAACTTTCATTCTCCATCTCTTGTACTGTTTTCAGGTAAAGGGATGCTGGAACTCTACAGGGACCATGGCATCCCAACTCCCAGCAGTAAGGAAAACTTTCCTGCCTCGGTTCAGTCTCTCTCACTGGAGTGAGCACTCTGTACAGTGGGCTTGGGGGCGTGGGAGGGCATACGACTTGGCAGACCCCTCGACCAGGGCATGCCCTTGTCAAAGGCACAAGAAACACAGCAGTGAGGAAGCAGTATCCTCTGCTTTCTTCCCTCTCAGCACCCTTAGAGGACAGGTGCTCCCTTCCTAACTGCCCAACTCTCTGAGCTTCAGTGTCCCACCCCGGACAGGAGGAGGACCTGGAGGTCCTGGTTGGTCTTTGATGGGGGAAGTCTCCTTCCTCAGGGTCCATGCAGGACCCCGCCCCACGCGCCTGCCTCTTGAGTTCCAGTACCTGGAGTGGACGCCATCCACAAACGGCCCCCCTCGACCCTTCAGCTGGTCCACCTCTTGACGTAGCTTCTCAATCTCTTCAGACAGGTGGCCCTGTGCCAGGCAGACCCAGGGTGGGGCAGGGGCCGGGAGGGGCAGAGAGGGGAGAGTGGGAATCAGAGAGCATCAGAGAGGACAGCAGAGTCGGGGAGCACCAGAAGAATTCACGGCAAAGGCCAAAGCCAGGCGCCCAGGCCAGGCCACACAGGGCACTGAGGAGAAGAGGCACCAACTGGGAAGGGAGCAGAAGGTCTGCAGAGGGGCTGGGTCAGGCAGGTTCTGTCTGGGTTAGGCCTCTGCTGGAATAGGCTGCTGACCCTCACGGACTGGCAGGCGGGGCCGGGCAGCAGAGCTCCCACACATGCTGAGGCAGGGCGATGGCAAATCCTCCCCAGTCGCTGGATCTTGCCTCACCAGGGTTTGAGGCCACTCCGAGTCCTTGGGCTGAGCCCTTCCCTGGCCCTATGCTGATGGTCTCAGAGTATTTTTTCACTCTGGGGAATGGCGTAGCTACTGTGTTGGGCTGCAGTGAAGCACGATGACGTAACTTATGTGCATGGCCTGACACAGGAGCAAACGAAGCGCTGGGTATCGGTATCGGAGCAGGTGCGTGAAGAGGCGCCTGCGTCCTCTCCTCACCACACCCGGGCCCTCCAGGCTGGGCGTCGGGGCCAGCGCTGGGTACCTTGTGGTGATGCTGCTCCTCGATCTGGCGCTGGGAGCTCTCCAGCTCCTGGATCAGGGTGTTCTAGGGGAGACCAGCTATGAGCCAAAGACCCCCACCCACAAGCTCACTGCTCTTCCCAGCTGGGAGCGCTCCCCAGGCAGGCCTGCTCTCCCAGCCCACTTCTGCAGGCCTCCCACCCCCTACTCCCTGGCTTCAGCTCCGCCCCTCCCCGCCTCTCCACCCCGCCCCTGACCAACCCCACTGACCTATCACATCCCAACTCCGCCCCTCCGGCCCCGCCCCGCCCACCACACCTTCTCCTCCAGGGCCGCCATGCGCTCTTTGAGATGCAGCTGCAGGCGCTCATTTGACTCGCTAAGCAGCCGGTCCACGGTGTCTGACAGCCGCTTGTTGTGGTCCTCATTCATCTTCTCCCGCTGGCGCACCTGTACAGCCGGCCCACCTTGCACCAAGCCACCTCAGAGCTTTGTCGCTGCCCTCCCTGGGACCCAGTCATTCCACTGGCCTCTGCCCTCATTGCCAGTGCCTTTCTGGTCCACAGGGAGGCCCTCTCCACATCTCCCGGCCACCTCCTACCCCTCACCCCACAGGCCTCCCTGCCCCTGTGTGGCTGTCTCCCTACCAGGCCCTTCCTCTGCTCACTCCACGCCCCAACAGACCATCCGGGGAGCCTGCCCCTGGGGCTGCTGGGAGAGGCCAGCCTGCTGCCCTCACCCTTGCCAGCTCCTGGTTCTTCTCCTCCAGCTGCCCTTCCAGCTGCCTCAGATGCTCCTCAATGTTTCCGTGTCGCTCTTCAGCCTAGGGACAGGGATGGCTAGAGATCTCTGTTCCTCTTGCCTCAGCCCCATACCCCACTGGCCCTGGTGCTGCGCAGTCTTGGGGATTCGGGCTGCAGGTTCCAAGCAACCCCAGCCTTCTTCTTTCTATCATCTTGGTGTGAACTGCAATTTCCCACTGCCTTTCCTCCCAAGCACCTGACCCCTGCCAGGTCCTCCACTTCTTTCCCATTCAAAGCTGGCAATAAAGACCATCAGTCATGTTTCCAGAGAAAGCTCCACTTGAAAGTAGAAACTACCACATATGACCTCTGTGCCTCCAGGTAGATGGAACTGCACTTGAGAGCATGGACTCAAGTCAGATAGCCTGGGTTCAAATCCTGGTCCCCTCTCGGACCTTGGCCAAGTCCCTGAACATCTATGTGCCTCAGTTTCCTCAACTATAAAATGGACAATAACACCACCTGTACGCACTGGACCATTGTTGGGACTGAAGGAAATAATCTTGGCAAACATTCAGAACACAATAAGCACTCAGCATACTAGATTTGCCATGGTCATCACCTTTGTACGAAGCCAGCCCAGGCAGAGCAATCTCTCTTGCCATTCGTGTACCTCCAGAGATGGAGACCCTACTGTTTCTGCTGACAGGATACTCTAGAATGTCACCCATCTCACAGTCAGGAAATCCAGCCTTAAAATTCTCCTGCTGTGACTCACTTGAATCTATTAATCACTTCAGCCTATCCCTTCTCGTCAGGTTCTGTTCCCACCCCACACATAACATCTTCTGCTGTAGTTTAAGCCTTGCCCTTAATTCCTAGGGCCAGAAAGATAGACCCCAGGCCAACTGCACCATCATGGAGATAAGGACACCTAGGTGTGGTTAGGGGTGACTTTTCCCAGTGGCAGAAGCAGACTTGGCCCTGGGTCTACTAAGGCACAGTCAGGCTTCGGGTTCCCTCCCAGAGCACCAAGCTGCCATGCTAGCACACTGGCCAGCCTCTCTCCTTCAGAGGCTCCAGGGCCAGGTGCTTCCTAAACACTGGATTCCTTCTCTTCCTGGTTACAGTTATAGTGATCCTCATTGCATTACAACCCACCCCACAAAGACTCTATCCAGCTGAAAAGACGCCTAAATTCTTTTTAACCCTCAGCGTGTCCATGCAGTTACCTAACTCCTCCAGAACCTACGTGTTTTCAGCCTGCACCCTCTTAGGATTATTCCATAAAGTTACCTCTTCATTAGGTAAAATGATATTCCCTTTTATTCATCCTAAAGCTGCAGCCTGCAAGCAACCAGGGGTGGCCTCTAGATCTAGAATGCTTCAGCTGTTAAAGAAAGATGTGCTCAACCCACAAATAACCCTCCGGGAATACACAGACTTGGTCATATTAATCATATATCTCTTCCCATTTCATCTTTCCAGAAATACAAATCCTAATCTTTCCACTCCAGCCCCAATGAAAAAGAAGTCTCAACTCTATTGGTGTCAATGATAATACAAATACTTTACATCAGTGTAGTCTCTTCTCCTTAAGATATTTTTACCCCTCCTTCCTGTGAGATTGGCACATCCCTGTGGGAAGAGGGCAGCGGGGATTGCTCTTCCCCCTGAAAGATGCTAGGTCGTGTGTTTCCTAGCATCACGCAGTGGGAAGCAGTTCTCTGGCTCGAGGCCCAGTGTGCCTCCTAAGGTGCCAGAAAGACAGACCCTGGCAAACACCAAGGCCAGCTGGGCTTCATAAGAGCTCGGGACTCGGGGACAGTGGCAGATCCCAGGCCCTGGTCCACTTGCCTTGGTGAGGGCTGCAATCCTCTGGGCCAGCTCAGCCTCCACCTCTGGCAGCGTCTCTGCCTTGCGCATTGTCTGCTGCAGCTTCTGCTCTGCCACCTCCAGCAGCTCCTGTAAGTGCCGGACCTTCTCCTCGCACTAGCAAGGCAGGGGTGGAGAAGTGATCTAGAGAGAGCACCAGGACTCCCCACCCTGCCCCAGCCTCAGCAGGGAATGGGTGACAGGTCAGAAGTAGCGAAGGACGAGCTTGATTCTTGACTTCTTTCCTGAGGGGACCTGCAGGACCTCAGGGGCTCCTGGGCCACCGAGAGGTGGTTCTGGCAAAATCACCGGGACCTCTGGTGGCAAGTGCAATCCCCGCCGCATCTGGAGGAGTTACCTGACGGTGCAGGGACTCCTTGTTGGCCAGCTCATTCTCCAGTCTGTCGTTCAGGTCATGGATGGATGTGGCCTCACGCTGAGCAGCCAGGTAGCGTTTCTCCAGTGTGGTGATTCGCTCCTCCATGTCCTCCTTCTGGGCCAGAGCCTGAGCGGGAGGAGAGGGGAGGAGAGAGAAGGTCACCACCTTTTCCTTGCCCCTCCTCCCTGCACCTCCCTTCCAAGTCATGGACAGGGTGTGATCTACACTCTCCCCTCTCAGTGCCTGTCTATGGCCCAACCATCCCATCACTCCTCCCACACTGGACCCACTGAGTTTTCAGTCTTATACTCTCAGCTCTTGTCTGGACCTCTGCCACACCCTCTTGAATGCCAAGGACCTGCATCCGGCAAGATGAGGGAACTGAGAGCAGGGGTGGACCTGACTTACCTCACGGAGGTCCCGCTGGTGCTTGCTGCTCAGCTCCTCTGACTTAATAAGGTCCCGGCGGGCTGTGCCCAGGTCCTCTTCAAGTTCTGCCACAGTTGCTGTCAGGGTGACCAGTCGCTCTCGGGCCTGGCTCAACTCAAAGTTTTGCTTCTCCAGGAGCTCCTGTAGCTCCTCTACCCGGCCCAGGTCCTCCTCCAGGGACAGGGAGCCATCAGTTAGTCATGGGGCCCAGGGTTCCCTCCCTGTGCCCCACCCCGGGAGGTGGCAGCCACAGCAGATCGCTGCTCTGCACCACTGGGGCACACATTGGGTCCACCTCCCTGCTCCCGGCCCCCAGGAGTTTATTCCTGACAAGGACCAAACACCCATGCTCTCCTGCGTATTTCTTGGGAAGCAACTTTCTACCTGTAGCTGCTATCTCACTCAGCCTCTTGCAACCCAGAAAGGACAAATTAGGGGCACAAAGACTCCAAGAGGGAAGGAACCTTGCCTGAGGCTGACATACAAAGGCAGACAACCCCTAACAATTCAGTGGGCGAGCATACCATATGTGCCTTGCACAAAATCAAAATCTATACATTTCTGGGCCAGGGATTTAGCTCAGAGGCACTGCACCTGACTTGCAAGCACAAGGTCGTGAGTTCGATTCCCAGTACCAAAAAAAAAAAAAAAACAAAATCTATACATTTCTTTGCAGATGGAGTGGAGAGAAGGAAAAAGAAGTGGGGATATTGCAGAGAGCCCCATATTTAATTCCAGCAGTGATTCTATTGGGCTCAGGCAGGCAAGGCCTCCCATTCCTGCCGTGGGGAATAGAGCACTCCTTTACCCACCTTCCATAGGCGTTTTGGTCCCAGCTCCATAGTCCCCTCCTCTTCTGCTGCTCCATCCCGAACCCCTGCCCCCTGCTGCAGGGCAGACACCTGTCAGGCACAGCACCCAGCACAGTGAGTCAAAAAGAACTTCCTACACATCCAGATCCTTCTTCAGCCCCTACTCCTGGAAAGGGGGGCCTGGCCCAAGCCTTGGTTACCAGTAACCAGCCACCGTGGGGACAAATCTGACGAGGAGCACAGCGAAGCTAGGGGTGAACCTTCCAGGCTTCCAGGAGCTGTGGTCTGCAGACTGGGTGTGGACAGGAAGCTTACCTGCTGGTGCGCACCTGCCAGCTGCTCCTCCAAGGTGGTAACTCGCTCCAGTGCTGCCCGGAGCCGCTCCCGTACCTGTCCAAGGTAAGGAGAGATGGAGGAAGGAAGGGGCTCCACTGAACTCAGGCTGGCTTGGTCTGCTGTCGGGTCTGAGGGGAAATGAGGGCCTCCCAAAGGCAGTTCCCAGGAGGGAACTGAGAAGGACATGAAGTTAGGCCAATGGAAGGAGGAAGCCAGTCCTGAAGCTAGAAGAGTTCTTCCTAAATACTTATGCTGAAAAGGGACACTGGAGGCTCCAGGGAGAGAGCAGGGCCGGGTGGTACCTTCTCGTCCAGGGCCTTGTGGTGCTCAAACAGCGACTTGAGGGCCTTCAGCACCTCCACCTCACTGGAGACCCCCGAAGGGGACTGGGCCTGGCGTTTCACCACGGTCATCCGCAGGGAGCGCTCGTGGCGGGACACCAGGCACTCCAGATGTTCCAGAAGCAGCTGGCAGGGAGCAGTGGAGGCCAGGAGGGACAGCTGTGAGTATGCACTTCAGGGGCTACAAGCAGGGCCCATCAGATCACCCAGTCGACATAAGTACAGCCACACCAGTGTGACAGTGCTGAAATCCTTCCACGTGGTAAGTCGCCGCCCCCAAACTAAACACCCACCCCAACTCCGCTGCCCTGCCCTCTCCTCCCGGACCCTGACCAGAATGACGGGAGAAAAGCCGAGCACTGGTGGTCACTGGTGGTGACAGAGGAAGTGAGGTCAGGATGGGGCCAAGGCTGTCCCTGGCCTGGCCTGGCCTGGCCCTCCTTCTATGATGGAGGTGTAGGCACACACACACACACACACACACACACACACACACCCAGGTCGTCCCCACTTACCCTTGTGTTGTTCCGCTCCGCTTTCAGCTCTGATATCTCTTCCTCCCGCTCTAGAAGCTGTTCCCGACACATGCTCAGCTCCCGGGTTAGGGTGGCAAATTCCTGAAAATCCCAGGGCCTCTCAGTGCTTGGGGATTTGTGCCCTGAGCAGTGTCCTGCATGCCCGAGTCCATGCGGGGCTCCTTTCACCCACCCCCGACTTCCACCTGGCCCTGGAGACTTCCAGACCATCGCACTGACTGCTGACGTGAGCTTCCCCGGGGTCCGTGGCTCTGAGGCCACTGTGCCGTCCAGTATGTCTCAGTCACCGAGTCTGCTCCACAGCCCTCCCTCTCCAGGCCCACTCAGCCTTTCCATGTCAGTGTCTTTTCCTTCAGAAACAGACGGAGGGCGGGCAAGGCTGGTTCCGGTTTGGCAGAGTGGGGTCCACACAGCAGCACACGGATGTTCGAGACGGAAGGGAAGGCTGTGCTGCAGCCTTCATCTGAGTGGGCCCCAGGAAGCTCCCTCCCACCCCTTCCCTGGGCTCTGCAAGCCGCAGGTGGCTGGCGAATAAGGAATAGAAGGACTGTCCCCACACACACTGGAGCAAGAGGGCCTGCGGAACCAGCTAGCATGTGGGTTTAGCTCTAGCTTCTTGGGAGCCCCCTCCTGATGCCACAGCACCAGCCCTGGCTTTACTGAGGATCTGCGCACCACGTATGTCTTCAGGGGGACCCACCATGCTGGTAGGCCCAGACCCTTTCAGAGACTTCCAAGCCACTGTCTTGGGCCAGCACCAGCACCTAGAGGTGAGAGGCCGGCCAGGCTCTTATCTATTAAACCGCCCTCACCAGACTCAGGGAAGGTTCTCAGTTACATGACCTGAACTCTGGGGACTGAACAGCTGTGGCCTTGCTCCGCATGTCAGGCTCCCTTGCACACCCTAAATTCATCACCAAAGGAAGAATTCCCAAAGCAGACCCCCTTCTCACTCCAGACCAGGCAGGAAGCATGAGCAAGCGAGACCCTCTGGCCTTCTTCCTTTATTACTGCCCTTCGACAAGGCCATGGCCAAGGGCAGCCAAGGGCCAGCATTCCACACCCTGGAAGCAGAGGCCTGGGCCTGAGCCCTCAGCTCACACACATGCATGCACAGTCACACTTTCACACGCTCACACACACGCACGTGAACTTGTCCGCAGAGACAGCACTCAGTGGCCTGCCCCCAGCCCTGTGCTGTGACAAGAGGGCTGTGATCCACTCTGCTCTCTTGCCTCAACCTCAGTAGCAGCTGGGTCTTCCCACCTCAGGACCCTGCGCCCCCGACTCTAACCCATCTGCCAGGAAGACCTCCCAGTTCACAGAGCTAGGCACACGTGTGGTGTGCCCAAAACACACGGTGAATGTTAAATTTTTAAAAAATTATTACAGTAAAAAACACATTGCCATTAATCCCCCCCCAAATCCTCCCCTCACTTCGAACATACTTATCCCATCGTTCTTGCTGCTTTCTGAAGCAGATCTGGAGTCCTCTTTCATGAGCATCTTATAAGATGTGATCAAAATTCAGTGAATGCTGCTGCTGAGTGGCATCCAACAGAAATGCAGTCTTATAAAAATATTACACTGTGCCCTCATCTACCTTATTCACCAGATCTGGCACTGTGGGACTTCCGGTTCTTCCCCAAAGTCAAAATGACCATAAGAGGTAAATGTTTTGATTTGCAACTATAGACACAAAAGAGGACTGCAGAACTGCTTCAGAAAGTGGCAAGAACAATGGGATAAGTGTATTTAAAATTAGGGGAGGGCTGGGGATTTAGCTCAGTGGTTCCACCACCTGCCTTGCAAGCGCAAGGTCCTGAGTTTGATCCACAATACCAAAAAAAAAA